AAGGATCTCATTAAAGTTCTGGACATTTACTCTTTTGATATGATACAGACTCTGAGATCACAGGGGGTATGAATATGTCTGATAAAGATTCTAAAAATATTTCAACTGTTTGATATCATTTTGAAGAGTCCAGTTTTAGTTAGCTGAGAACACAGATTACTAAAACTACTTGAAAGAAAATACTGATTACTCTAATGAGCTCGATTCATTAATTCTTCATTACATTTTTACACTTAAATCCTGGTAACATATTTTTTTTTCCTATGGAGGTGAGTAAATACAGAAAAAAATATCCTCATATGATTCATAAGATCATGTTTAGTGAAACTGTAACCATTTTAACTGGATTATTGTTTTACTGAAGAAAACTCTATCAGACTCAATGTAATTTAAATTAAAGTCAATTTTAAATTTTTTTAATTTTTAATTTTTATTCCATTTTAAGTTTTGGGGTACATGTGAAGAACATGCAAGATTGTTGCATAGGTACACACACAGCAATGTGGTTTGCTGCCTTCCTCCCCTTCACTCATATCTGGCATTTCTCCCCATGCTATCACTCTCCAACTCCTCACCCCCGCTGTCCCTCCCCTATTTCCCCCCAATAGACCCCAGTGTGTAATGCTCCCCTACCCGTGTCCATGTGTTCTCATTTTTCAACACCTGCCTGTGAGTGAGAACATGCGGTGTTTGTTTTTCTGCTTTTGTGTCAGTTTGCTGAGAATGATGGTTTCCAGGTTCATCCATGTCCCTACAAAGGACACGAATTCATCATTTTTGATGGCTTCATAATATTCCATGGTGTATATGTGCCACATTTTCCCTGTCCAGTCTATCATCGATGGGCATTTGGGTTGGTTCCAGGTCTTTGTTATTGTGAACAGTGCTGCAATGAACATTCGTGTGCATGTGTCCTTACAGTAGAATGATTTATAATCCTAAAGTCAATTTTTAAAATTATTAAATGTATCCCACTTTAGAAAGTATACATCTTTAAAAGAAAGAGGCTCTCTGGAGATTTATTTGGATGCTATTTTCATCTTTCACTGCAACTGGTGCATTCTCTACTGTCTTTCTTTTTCATCTTACCTACAAGATCTAGTAAAGCTCTAGTTTTCATGGCTTAACTCATGTTAATTATTCAAACTAAAATTCTATCTCTAATTGTCTCTGTTGATTTAAACTACATGTTTCACAATTCACCTTCCACTCTACTATGAGCTTTCCTTTTCTGATTTAACAATAATTGTCTAGAAAATTTATCTACTATTTAATAGCAATTAAACCAATAAATATTTATTAAATGCCTACTAGTTATATGTTTTCACTAACTTCTCTATGGAATATCTGCGTGATAGAATAAGAAAATAATTAATATAACTTTATATGTAAGAACGCAGTTTTCTGTTAGGTCCAGATTTTCAATACTAGAATTCCCACTTAATTCAATATTAGGATGAGCTAAAGTACTCCACACATATGGAGATAAAAGGAAATGCTGTTTTTATGTTGTTCTGCTGCATCAAATGCCCTAGAAATCCTAACCAAGTAGGACTATTAGCTTCTGTTTCTTCTCAATGAGACATAGAGTTTTATGAACTTCGTCAGTGCTGAGATTTGAACTGGTGTTTCTCTGAGTCCATGAGCCCTTTTTAAATGTACTATGCTGCCGTTCTTTTAAAGATAAAATGTTGGTAACTATATATGACTTACTTCAGTAGTCTCATTGTTCTTCAAAAAATATACAATTTTTTCAAAGTTTAAAGTGGCATGCAATTTAATTAATTCATTTATTCATATTTTTTTCTATTATTCTACAAGCATGCAATCCTGAGACATTATGTTTTCTTATCATTCATTATTATTTCTTCCTATTCAAACCTGGTTCTTCTTGGTGGATGCAAATGGACCCATCTTAACATAGACAGTGGAGATTCATCACTGATGCCTCCTTTTTCTCACCTCTCCCTCTAATCAATCTCCATTTTTAAAAAATTCTTGGAATACTCTTGTTTTGACTAGATATAATTTCTCATAGCAGTCTCAATTTAACCCCATTGGCCCCAATACATGGGGCTCCTCCTCATCTGTTACCCTGGTTCATTTCATATCTATCCTCCCTCTGAGTGCACTCAGCTGGAATTTTCTTCAGCGGTGTATGCTTAGCGAATGGCATCACTAAGACCTGGAATCTGACATAGAGTGAGTGTCCAGTGACTATTTGTTGACTAAATGGCTGGTGAACAAGTTGACTTTACAGCCATATTCTTATAGTTAATATTTCTTTGTTCCTATATGCCATTAAGAATAACTCACAGATAAATTATTCAGTTTTAAAGACATGTGGCATATAAAGTAAATTAATAATTTTCTTACCTATGCTTTAACAATATGTTTCAAGCTTTTAGAGACAATGGTTCAGTTTTCCTCTTTACTAAATTCAATATAGAGAAGGCACCTTAATTTTTATTTTCACTCACTATTTATCATTCTAGATTTCATTTATTCCCTAGAAATATTGCCTATGAACTTAGTTTTTGAAAACTAACTTTTTATAGCTACCATTCTTTCAAATCCTATCACCCACTCATGAAATAAGATTGTTTCTCTCCTTTAGTTTTTCCTGTCATAGCTGTCAGATTATTATTCATCCATCAGGACTTTCATTAATCACTTCACTCGAGCCCCTGAATGGTTTATGTAATTTATCCATTCCTGTCTAAAATTTCCAGGTAATAATCATATTCTCTATTATATTATTTCATCATTCTATATCTAGTATAGAAATGAATTTTAAATGGACTGACTCTTATATGCTAGACCTTATACTCTTTTTCTCTCTTTATTCAGCCCTTTCTTTATTCTGGCATCTTCATTTCCTTCTGCCAGCTTACAATCTAGCAGAAGTTGGAGCTTCTCAATGAAGCTTTTCTGATTATGCTTGCATATGAATTGTTTTTCCCAGCTCTGAATTCCAGGAACTTATTCCCTTGAGTATATACTGCTTTGGACTGCTAGAGTCTTGGCTGTACTGCTTATCACACGTGTGGCATTGGGAAAGGGATTTGACTTCCTTTGTGTCTCAGTTTAAACATGCATAGAGCAGGCAAAGGTAACAGACTCTACCTCAGTTGTGCAGATTAAACAAGTTAATGCACATAAAGCCTGCCACATATTATGTGTTCAATAGCAATTGTCTTACATTCTTATAATTATTCTGAAAATGATTCTAACATGTTAGCCTGGCAATATTACCGTGTTGGCATTTCATAGACTCATGAAGTGTAGTCTTGTAAGCACAAGCTGAACTTGGAGTCATCTAAATCAGTGGAAAGGGCTGGGTCACAGAGGAAAGCTTCAACACTCTTGAGACGAATGCAGGGATTACACAAAATATTAAATCAGCATTTTAACCTGTGGATTTTAAGGTAGAGAGCTAGGAAAAAACCTGTGAAAAATAAGTAAGTTATAGATCTTCGCAATCTCAGGACCAAAAAGGCTCGTGTGGGAATTGTTGCTCCAGGAGTTTTCTTCATTCTTTGTGGTTTTCTCACATATTTCTCAAGGTAGAGCGGCCCAGTCCCCTATGACATAAAATCTTCAACTAGAGAAAAAACCTCCCTTTCCAGTCCATAGTCGATATATCTAAAAACAGGCCATGGTTTCTCAGCCCGTTTGAACATCCACAGGAGTGTCTAAGTTCTGTGACAATCTAAAGAAGTTCAGAATTAAAGAAAAGCAGTCCCATTTTGCCAACTTTATCACCCCATTGATTTCTCCTGTAAACAGAGCAGGATGGTGTTCTGTTCGGAGCACTGTGGTAATTAACTCCAAGTAAGTTCAGCGGTTTGTGTCAGGCAGAGGATGGGGTGGGACCTGGGTGTGGATATGCCCAAGAAGGTGCTGCACCTGCTGGGGCTTGGAGGAGGCACACAGCGTATTTGCACTAGTGATAGGCGTGCTTCCCCAAACTAAACACACACATTGCTGACTGCATCACAAAGGCAAAATTATCTTAGCCTGGAAGCAGCCTGGCTATTTATCTGTGTCAGCAAAGAAATAGCTTCACCTCAGAGCTCTGTGAAGAACCTTGAAGGAAGTTTTCTTAGCTCTTATTTCTGTAATTATTTTTCACAGAAGGGAATCCAAGCCACTACTGTTGTCTTTGTTCATCCCACACTTGCTCAGTAATTATCCACAACCACTTTACAACTTACTGCTTTCTGCTCTCCTTGGTAACCTTATCTTCCCTTCACATTCCTGGTGTCAATGAGGCACAGAGAGTCAAATTGTGTTATTTACTATTCACGTGAGGCTGGGAAAGTTTTCTGGACATCTGTGTGCCTAAGTTCTACTTACGAGAGGCATTGTTCTGCAGAGTTTAGAAGATCGTTGAGAGCACTAGCACAATACTGAGTAAATGACAACTTTTGGCATTGCAAAATAAGATTCCTGCTACACAAATGTTAATGGTCATACAAAGATCATCTAGCACCCTACCCATGCAATTGTCTCTCTCAACTCTAGAAAAATTTACTTATAATCACCAGCTAAGCTCTACAAATATATACTGGACATTGTCATATATAATAAAACACTTCAAAAATATGTGATTGCCAAAGCAAATTGCATATTTAGGTTTTGAGAAAAGCTGTATCATTCTTTTTTTTTTTTTTTTTTTTTTTTATGGAGTCTCACTCTGTTGCCCAGGCTGGAATGCACTGGTGCAGTCTTGGCTCACTGAAACCTCCACCTCCTGGGTTCAAGCGATTCCTCTGCCTCAGCCTTCTGAGCAACTGGGATTACAGGTGTGTGCCACCAGACCCAGCTAATTTTTGTATTTTTAGTAGAGACGGGGTTTCTGATCAGGCTGGTCTCAAACTCCTGACCTCGTGAATTCGCCCGCCTACGCCTCCCAAAATGCTTGGAGTACAATTACAGTCGGAAGACACCACGCCTGGCAGCTGTATTATTCTTTAAAAAATAGTTTTATAGGCACTCTCGTCTTCTGTCCAAGTTGGTCGCTTCCCTGCACCAAAGTGAGCAGTAGCCAACATGTCAGGATGGGAGTCCTATTACAAAACCGAGGGCGATGAAGAAGCAGAAGAACAAGAAGAGGATAACCTTGAAGCAAGTGGAGACTACAAATATTCAGGAAGAGATAGTTTGATTTTTTTGGTTGATGCCTCCAGGGCTATGTTTGAATCTCAAAGTGAAGATGAGTTGACTCCTTTTGACATGACCATCCAGTGTATCCAAAGTGTGTACATCAGTAAGACCATAAGCAGTGATCAAGATCTCTTGGCAGTGGTGTTCTATGGTACTGAGAAAGACAAAAATGCAGTGAATTTTAAAAATATTTACGTCTTACAGGAGTTGGATAATCCAGGTGCAAAACGAATTCTAGAGCTTGACCAGTTTAAGGGGCAGCAGGGACAGAAACGTTTCCAAGAGCTGATGGGCCACGGATCTAACTACTCACTCAGTGAAGTGCTGTGGGTCTGTGCCAACCTCTTTAGTGATGTCCAGTTCAAGATGAGTCATAAGAGGATCATGCTTTTCACCAATGAAGACAACCCCCATGGCAATGACAGTGCCAAAGTCAGCCGGGCCAGGACCAAAGCCAGTGATCTCCGAGATACAGGCATCTTCCTTGACTTGATGCACCTGAAGAAACCTGGGGGCTTTGACATATCCTTGTTCTACAGAGATATTATCAGCATAGCAGAGGATGAGGACCTCAGGGTTCACTTTGAGGAATCCAGCAAGCTAGAAGACCTGTTGCGGAAGGTTCGCGCCAAGGAGACCAGGAAGCGAGCACTTAGCAGGTTAAAGCTGAAGCTCAACAAAGATATAGTGATCTCTGTTGGCATTTATAATCTGGTCCAGAAGGCTCTCAAGCCTCCTCCAATAAAGCTCTATTGGGAAACAAATGAACCAGTGAAAACCAAGACCTGGACATTTAATACAAGTACAGGTGGTTTGCTTCTGCCTAGCGATACCAAGAGGTCGCAGATCTATGGGAGTCGTCAGATTATACTGGAGAAAGAGGAAACAGAAGAGCTAAAATGATTTGATGATCCAGGTTTGATGCTCATGGGCTTCAAGCCCTTGGTAATGTTGAAGAAGCACCATTACCTGAGACCCTCCCTGTTCGTGTACCCAGAGGAGTCTCTGGTGATTGGGAGCTCAACCCTGTTCAGTGCTCTGCTCATCAAGTGTCTGGAGAAGGAGGTTGCAGCATTGTGCAGATACACACCCCGGAGGAACATCCCCCCTTATTTTGTGGCTTTGGTTCCACAGGATGAGGAGTTGGATGACCAGAAAATTCAGGTCACTCCTCCAGGCTTTCAGCTGGTCTTTTTACCATTTGCTGATGATAAAAGGAAGATGCCCTTTACTGAAAAAATCATGGCAACTCCAGAGCAGGTGGACAAGATGAAGGTATTGTTGAGAAGCTCTGCTTCACATACAGAAGTGACAGCTTTGAGAACCCCGTGCTGCAGCAGCACTTCAAGAACCTGGAGGCCTTGGCCTTGGATTTGATGGAGCCTGAATAAGCAGTGGACCTGACATTGCCCAAGGTTGAAGCAATGAATTAAAGACTGGGTTCCCTGGTGGATGAATTTAAGGACCTGGTTTACCCTCCAGATTACAATCCTGAAGGGAAAGTTACCAAGAGAAAACACGATAATGAAGGTTCCGGAAGCAAAAGGCCCAAGGTGGAGTATTCAGAAGAAGAGCTGAAGACCCACATCAGCAAGGGCACACTGGGCAAGCTCATTGTGCCCATGCTGAAAGAGGCTTGCCGGGCATACGGGCTGAAGAGTGGGCTGAAGAAGCAGGAGCTGCTGGAAGCCCTCATCAAGCACTTCCAGGACTGACCAGAGGCCGTACACACAGCCATCCTTCCACAGTGTGGCCAGGCTGCCTGGCCTTGTTCTCAGCCAGTTAAAATGTGTTTCTGCTGAGCTAGAAAGAGTCTACCCGACAGAAGTCGAGGGACTTTATGTTTTTGAGGCTTTCTGTTGCCATGGTGATGGTGTAGCCCTCCTACTTTGCTGTTCCTTACTTTACTGCCTGAATAAAGAGCCCTAAGTTTGTACTAGAAAAAAAAATAGTTTTATAAAATTGTATTATCACCTCCTTGATTTTCTTTTTTTGGGAAATATATTGTGTCTTAATAACTCTTCATGCATCGGTAAGCATAGTGTGTCTTCATACTATCTGTCCTGATAAGAACCAGAAGAGAACTTAACTGCTTGAAGTCCCAAGGTCCAAGGGAATCTTACTGTATAAAAATCAAGCTCATCATTCCTTCGACTATTTAAAAAAGTAGATGAGATGAATCTAATCCCATTACTATAATTTCATTGACCAGAATTAGTATAGTAAGTTTAAAAAATACCATAAAAATGCTCTTGTAGGAGAAACTAAATTATAATCATGTTTATCTTTAATACGATTTTACTATATGAAACACATCACAAAATGATGCATTATTTTGGGGCTGGATATATGAATCAGCAGATTGAAAAATGGAATCACAAAGATTTTCAACTCCTATTATACTCTTATCTTTCAAAATTTTCTTTTCAACATCTCTCTTTCTGACAGCTAATTCATATATTGATTTCTTGGGTCATAAAAGGCAAATATCCAGCTTGAGATGTGAAATAATTAGATAATTTAAGTAGACTGGGGAGACTGACCTCGGCAGATTCTGAAGCTACGGAGTTTTTCTATTATTACTCTTATATCCCAGGTTTCAGGACTTTTCTCATTCACTCAACTATTGATTTTGTTAAGTACAAATGACTTATTATCATGAGGAAAGGAGAAGTTTTAATGGATTTAGAACCGTGCTGTATGGTTATGGCATTTTTTGAGCCCATTAGAAAAAAAAATGGACAGAACAAAATTACTATTAGGTAGCTATTCCCTCTATGCCCTGTCCCTCCTCCCTTGTTTTCTCCATTATATCTTCATAATTATATATCCCTCTATTCAAAGACTATTGTGCACTTACCAGGCAGCAGGCATTCCCCAGACACTGGGGTTAGAATTCCTCACATTGCTGCCAAGGAGGCAGAGGATAAACTTTGCCCCACCACCCCACACTGCCAGCAGCACCACTGAGGCAGAGGATACACTTTACTCTGCCACCCCGCACTGGCAGCAGCACCATCATCATCAAAGGGCATGCAGGCACATACCCACGTGCATGCACCCACATACACATGTAACACACACACACACACACACACACACACTCTCTCTCTCTCTCTCTCTCTCTCTCTCTCTCTCTCTCTCTCTTTAATTTTTGGCTGCGTCCCCACCCAAATATCATCTTGAATTGTAGTTCCCACAATCCCCATGTGTCATTGGAGGGACGCTGCAGGACGCGATTGAATCATGTCGGCAGTTCCCTCATGATATTCTTGTGATGGTGAGTCTCACGAGATCTGATGGTTTTACAAATCTGGCGTTTTCCCTGCTGGCACTCATTCTGTCTCCTGCTGCCCTCTGAGGAGGTGCCTTCTACCATGCTTGTAACTTTCCCAAGGCTTCCCCAGCAATGTGGAACTGTGAGTCAACTAAACCTCTTTTCTTTATAAATTACCCAGTCTCAGGATCCCCCATCCACATTTACTAAATAAGAGAGTTGCTGGAATGAAAACCTGAAAACTTTCATTTTTCCCAAGCTTCCCAAGAAATTACAGGTCACAGTCAAATATGGTAAATTATTCTTTATTTTTTTGAGACAGGTCTTGCTCTGTCAACCTGGGTGGAGTGCAATGGTGTGACTATAGCTCACTGCAACCTCAAACTCCCAGGCTTAGGTGATCTTCCCACCTTGGCATCCCAAAGTGCTGTATTACAGGCATGAGCCATCGTGTCAAGCATAAATTATTCTTAAACTGTGAAATTTGCTGTTCTTACTACGGATGTCAAAATTCACTTGCACTCCTCCTCATAAAATAAATATATCCAAGATAAATTAGTAATACCTGCTAATGGTTTAGTGTTCCTATAAGGAAAATTTGCATTTGAAAAAGACACCTAAGGACAAAAGTCTTACACTAACAGAACAAATATACAATGTGAATTGTCAGAACCAAAATGTGCTAATAAGGAACAATATTTTTGGGAAACCAGCATTGCTGGTATGCCTCATAACCCACAAAAGGATGGTGACAGCCTCCTGCTTATAAGAGAGAATTGTGTTTTAAGGGGAAAAGTAAAACATGCATACATAGACACACACACACAAACGTGCGCATGTGTGGTATGTATAAATTAGTTTTTAATTACTAAAGTGGTGTATAATGGAGGAAAGAAAATATTTGAACAAGACCATTAAAATGAAGTGATTGAATCACTGCGGAAATGCATTAACATGAGGTTGTGACTCATGGGCTGTCTCACTTTTCTAGCGAGGCAGCTGCTTACCATTAATGACCAGCAACAGTGACGAGGGATCCATCTGCCCTGTTCTGGAACAAGGGAATGCACCACCTGTTAAATTTATAACTACAGCTTCCACAAATGAACATGAAAATGAAGCCTCCAGATTGGAAATAATGTGTAGCTTTTATGTAAAAACACCAAGATATTCAAAAGTCTATTTATTCTCTCCACTTGGTGTTTTGAATTACTTGAAAAAAAGTGCTAACTATGAGATGAGTATCTTTGACACAATGCAAATTGTTAACCCAAATGTTCCACATTAATGAAGTCGTTTCAGATTCATTGGAAACTAACTGTCCCTGCTTCTATCCTGAAAAACACCTGTGGGAAAAGCAATGCACTTTTGTAAATCTGTGAGTGTCAATCTGATATAACTGTTCTAGTCCCCGAGAAGTAATAGAAATCAATAAACACAAATAAGGAAATTGTTCTAACATTTTGAGATCGTAATCTTCTCTGAATATTAAAGTTTATGGCATACAACAAAACCCTGATTCTCACTGTTTTTTTCTGTTGTTTACCTCAATTAATGTTCTTATCTCTTCAGTGAGTAAATGTCTCATTTTTTCCTTTACATGTTTCCATTTCTATAACTTTGCTTGTATTAAGTTCTCAGTTACCTTTACCTCATACCATTAGGCATGTTAGCAAAATCATAGTCAACCTTCAAGGCCTGGCTAACCTCATGTCTCTTCTGTGATGAGGTCTCAGGGAAGTCTACCTCAAGGATGTATCTAGCTCTTCTAAATATTAATATTAGAGAGTCATTTTTTCTGAATAAATTTGAATGTTGAGTAAAATGATATAAACTTGGAAAAGGATTTAAATGTTTATCAAATGCTCCGCAGTTTTCTATATAATGCAAAACAATTTTTGTTTATTAAAGACCTAAAATTTAATAAAATTAATATGCATTGTATTAATTAAGGTAAAAAGGAATTTATTACAATAAAGCAAGAAGCACGAGCATCTGCATATTTGCCAGTTTCCTTTTCCAAGAAGTACCCAGATAAATGCTTGATACATTCTACAGGAGAGGGTTCCTGAGCTTATGGAACCCAAGTCATTCAAAACAGAGAGTTAGCAGGCCTGAACTTTGCCACAGAACGATAACTTATTTATGATTCTAAACAGTATACGTGACTGCTCTTTGCTCCAGAACAAAGATCAATTGGTGTCTGTGCATTCAAGATACGGAAAAATGAGAGAGATCCACAGAGAATTATCTGCAACAATTTTCTCAATATTACCCTGGTTTCTGAAGAATTTTCTCCTAAGCGAGGTATTATATCAGTCACTCTGATAAATGTGACCAACAAAAACTGAAACCGTATCTGCTCAACTCAACTCAAATAGATTTTTTTTAAGGCTACTCTCAACACAATTCCAAACATCAGGATGAGGCCATCTGGCAGTACTGACCACTACTATTCCTGTTGGATCCCAGGCTCAACTGAACAAATCTCACTGGAGTCTATCCCAGAAATGCAAGTAGTTTTCTCCTAAAATTTCTATATTGACATTTCTCCTTAAATTTCTATATCAATAATTCCACTTGGCCTGAAATATAAACCATGTACAGTAGGAAGTGCTAGAGATTGCAATGACTTTACCTCAGCCAGCTCAGAGAAAGTCTAAGACAATTCTACAGTCCATAACCTCCTGACCTATGACTCGAGGATAGTCTGATAGACTTGCAGTGTCAAGGTGGCATAATTCGTTATGTTAAAGTCAGAAATACCTGTATTAATACTCTTTTTAATTAGAGGATGCCCAAGTAAGAAGAAGTTCTCACAGGGTAGGCATAAATTATAGTAATATATGAGTCAGTTAAACCTCTGATTGTCTTCCATGCGTATGCAAAGTTAGCCTCACTTTTGCGATTTGCACAATCATATTAGATGTACATGACCTATTGGTCATGTTTTCTTAAATACTTGAAGATCTTTATGGCCACCCTTACAAGCCAGTGCAAGCCACAGGATTTGGGGAGGAAGGGAAGGTAGTAACTTGCATTCACATATTAAATATTCTTGGGGGTGCACCTGTTACCCGTGGGGAAAACAAGTGTTATTTATTATTGTTTGGGCCCCTAAGAGGGACCTACATCAATTGAGGTGGGGGACAGATATTGACTGTCTCTAACGTGGCATCCTAGCCAATTGATAGACTTTAGAATCTCAGTTCAGTTTATTTATTTATCTATTTCTTTGAGACAGTGGTTTGCTCTGTTGCTCAGGCTGGAGTGCAGTATAGCAATCTCTACTTACTGCAACCTCCGCCTTCTGGGCTCAAGCGAGCTTCCCACCTCAGTCTCCCAAGTAGTTTGTATTACAGATACGAATTATCATGCCTGGCTAATGTGTGTGTGTGTGTGTGTGTGTGTGTGCATATATATATATATATATATACACACACACATATATATGAGTGTGTGTGTGTGTGCATATATATATACACACACATGTGTGTGTGTGTGTGTGTGTGTGTGTGTGTATGTATTATTTTTTTCTTTCTTTTTTTGGTAGAGACAGTGTTTCACCATGTTGGCTAGGCTGGTCTTGAACTCCTGGCCTCAAGTGATCCACCCACCTCGGCCTCCCAAAGTGCTGGGATTATAGGTGTGAACCACTGCAC